TCCCTTAGGGTTTTTCATGGATGGAAAGGTGTCACTCCACCGATGAGATGAAGCTGGTGTGTGGGCACATTTCCTATCTAGAGGAGTTACTGCCTTTGGTCGTGAGGGTATATGGCCCTACACTTCAGCAGCCACCTGCCCCATCACTGCAATAATTCCCTTTGTGTTAATCTCATCAATTTGGGTAAGATTTATACTTTCTTTATATGTCCCACACTATCGAACACACTTCATAACCAAAAAATGCTTTCCACATGTATTATCTCATTTAATTCACCTGACAATGCTGTGACGTTGACTACCGTATTCCCATTTTGCAGATGAGGAAACAGATGAGAACTGGAGAACTGCCAGGGTCACACAGCCATTAAACACACAGAACCAGGGTGCAAACTCAGACCTCCCAGGAGCAGATCCCCTGACTGCAACCCATTGCCGTCATTACATCATCAGTCTCACTGCAGGTCCCGGGTAAAGGTGTGCAGAGTTGAGTGGCCCTGGGTTTTCTCTTTCTTGACTGAGAGCAGATGACAGGTGACTTGAGAGGGAATGTGTATAACGTGGTTTCCAAGGGAGGCACAGAGGCTTTGTCACCCCAACCTCATTACAGTTCCCTTTCAGCTACTGTTTTTCCACTCAGCTTGATACGAGGCTTGTTTCAATTTACTCAATCACGAGGTAAAGATGAATGGTAGGAAGTAGCAGATGAGGGAATATTCTCACATAAAGACATTAAGATATTGTATGCCACAACTCCATTTATGTAGGAGAATGTTTGCTCATGATTATGTAAATATGGAGAAAGAAATGGAAGGATGTTAACAAACTATTAATACTGGTTACCTGCAGGGGTGTGTGTGTGGAGGGGGGAGGCCATATTCTTTCACCCCAGTAAAACAAAGCACAACAGAAAAGGCAAACCTTTTTAAAATGAGCCCACAACTACATACAGCAGGTAAAAAGTAAACCCTAGTGTGGAAAGTTATGCAGACATGTACATATGCATTGAGCAGTATAGAAAAGGATATTAACATATCGGTGAACATGTTTTACAGTCACAATAAGCATATTATTTATATAATTACAAAAAAGATATTATTTATTTAAAAAGCAGTAAAGCTATTTTCATTCAGAAAAAAACATTGGCCACTAAAATTTAAATTTTAACAACTTGTCTTTGAAAGAAGGTATACTAAGCAGCTTCTATGTGTCCAGGTATAAAGGATGGTTGGCATTCCCTTGTCTAAGCATGTGTTCGATGGGGCTCTGAATGCTGTCAGAGGTTCCTAAACTGGGGAAACATGGAGATTTAGGCACCGCTCTAGAAATCTCTCATTAAAATACAGATTTTACCAAGTGGGTGCAATTCATTAATCTTTAATCCCAAGTTAACGTCTCTCCAGAGCAGAAGGGAAAATGTCTTGGGCAAGTAGAATCTTGCTGGGTAAAAAGTTCTGGGATACAGGTATGACTGAAGGGCAGATGACAGGCAACTTTGGACACATTAATAAATATACATATACATTAATTTGAAGGAAAAAAACTAAGCTGGTTATTGTCTTCCCTGAACTTAATGGTTGGTTACAATCACAATTCTGGGTGTGGTTAATTAAGCTTTTCAAAGAAATTTCTGTTTAAAGTAAGGATTATGTTTTCAAATCATCTAGAGGTAAATGAGATTGCTGAAGAAGACACATTAATCCGTTTGGGGCAATTTAAAATATTGGAGTTGCTCCATTTCCCAGGGCCACCCATGCAAAGGTGATTGCTAAAAGCAAGAGAAGCATCTTGTAGATTTTTATCTCTTTGGCACGGAATCCCTGAATATTCCATGTAGCAGTGTTTATATATTTTTGACTTTTTTCCTGATAATCTAGTGCAACCCCACGAAACTCAGTTAAAAAAATTGTTCTAAAATCCCAGTCATTAATATTGCTTTTCAGGAATCAGCATTTGCTTGATTTCCGTGGCACAAATCTCTACCAGAATTGTTGGTATCTTCTCTGTAGTCTTCCAGTGATTCCACTGTGCCTTTGTAGGAAAGACCACAACATGGATCTTATTTTTCTAGAACTAGTAAAGCAATTTCAAAGACTTTAGAAAGGAACACGATGCCCCCCCAAAGTTGTTTCACCTTCTCATTTATATAACAATCCATTCACCCACCCATCAACCATCCATCCATCCATCCATCCACCCACCCACCCATCAACCATCCATCCATCCATCCATCCACCCATCCATCCATCCACCCACCCACCCATCAACCATCCATCCATCCATCCATCCACCCACCCACCCATCAACCATCCATCCACCCACCCACCCGCCTACCCATCTAGACATTGATGTTTTGTGCTAGGCAGAGGAATAACGAGATGATTAAAGCAAGGGCTTATCTTATAGCCTATAATAAGAAGCCCTAAAGAGAAATCAACAATTTCACCATCGTGTGGCTGCAATCAGTTAAACTCCAAGTGTAGGTGGTGCAGGGCCAGTATTGCAGGTTTTATAAGCTTTCCAGGAAGTCATACTTAAGGGTGACACAACAGCTGTTCAGTGGGATTGCGACTTAAGGTAGTCTTCAAAATTATCTGTGCATTAGAACTTTGGTGTTTTTAGTATCAGTTTTCCTTACAAACCTCTTTGTTGTCAATAATTGATCATTAATCATAGCAAGTGGCTGTTGCAGCAAATGGAAAGAAACAATCTGCCAAACCGGCACCAAAACTTTGGGAATTGACAATTTTCTAAAAAGTAGTATCAATAGATCTTTTATTATAGGCCCTTAGAAAATTGTTTTCAGACTTAGAAGCATTTCTGAAAATCACCTGATAATAAAATGTCTTTGGATACCTAACTGAGCATTTTACAGGGATAATGGCAATTCATCTCTTCTTTATTAACTCTGTTGGTAAAATTCCTCTACAGCTTTTTTCCTGCTAGAGTATGAAGAGTTTTCATAATTTCTGCCAGCAGCCTATCAGATTCCATGGATTAAATTCTTGCTTGCAAGTTGTCCTACCAATTGTTTCCTACATGTTTAACTCCCTAATGCGGAGGGTGAAGATACCAAGCTTCACAAGACCCACAGACAGTGTATGCATGATAGAGATTAGCCTATAGAATATTATGGAACCAACATGAAAGAACATACTGAAGAAAAATAAAGTTTTTAAGATGCAGCAGTTTTAAGAACTGAAAAGATTGTGCTTCTGTTGGTTCGAAGACATTTTCTGATGACTAGTTACTGTCTGCTATTTTCTCTAATGGCAGGCAGTATCTGGCTGCCATAGCTGTCATCCAAGTCTCTGTTACAAATACTCCTTGAGGAAAACCCAACCCCCCAGGAGGCTCTATTGGACAGCAAATTGGTTTTGCATGCTCGGCCTTGAACCCACAGGTTAAGAACCTTATAAGCATTTTGCTTGAGTAAAGTACATTCTATTACCTGAAAAGTGTTCCAAGTACAAAAGGGATCAAAGTGATGAAATCTGGATTGATGCCACCATAAACAGGCAATAATCAAATTCTCTGTTCAGGCCAGAGGAATGTCAGCTCTTCTGAAATGTATTTTTCAACTTGATTCTCAGAAGCAACCAGAGAGAAATACTTCACAGGTTCCCCAGCAACCTACCTCAGTGACCAGCTACTTAATTTTAAATTATAAAATTATAAGCATTATATGTGTGTGTGTGTGTATACATATACATATATATACATGTGTGTATATATATATATGTCCATACTTACATGAATAGATAAAAGATATTTCTGCAATTTAATGTATATTCTGTATTTAGCAGAAATGGAAACAACTTAATGTTTGTTTTTTAAAAATTTTTCTGACATCTCAAAATGTGAGTGTTATGGATACTCAGAGTTTTTTCCTTTAGGCTAGAGCTTTCCTTAGTATTTCCTGAGATAGTCTCAGGAAGTGTATTTTGGGGGTGTAAGGACCTATTTAGAAACTGTCCCTGCTCCCCTTCCCCCAGGGGATTTACTTGGAGACAAGTCCCAGAAACCAGCTTCAGGTAACAAAGCCAAGATACAAAGGTGGGTCAGGCCAGGTGGAGACATCTGATCAGTGGGGGGATGCATACTGTCTCCCTGGTTACCAAGGAGTATGGGCCCCGCCCTTTGGGCGCCCATCCCAATCAAGGTGTAATAGGCTGGTTCAAATGTCTACTAGGGTATATTGTAACTCAGTTGGTCACCTAGCATCACTGTGGAGTTTCCTGTGTGTGTTACAATCTCATTGGCCACCTGTGTGTGGCCAGGCCCGACCGCATGGCCTTTGCCCTTAAAAGCTAGACTGTGAAACAGAGAAGGGTCGCCCTCTCTTGTAAGAGGTTCGGCCTCGAACGTTCGGTTAGATTCTTGATGCTTGGCGCGAAATAAAGCTTTGCTGGACCTTCGCTTTGTATCAGTCTCGCTCCTTTAATCACGGACCCATTATTGGGGCATAACGGGGAAATTGGAGGCATTCATCAAAGGGACACACCATGACCAGAGTGTAGCAAAAGGGGAATGAGCATTGGGAATTCTCATCAACAAAGCACCTCAAAACAGCAGAGGGGCCCTGCTGGTCCCTGCTGCCTCAAAGAGAGAGGGCAGGGGAGACCTGGAACCTATTTGAGTCACCTCTATCTCTCCAGATTATATTCCACTCAAAGTGGGTGTGGGTACACACACATCTTCTGAGCTATATTCTAAAAAGCTTACCTTTAAATATTGATTGATTGATTGATTTTTGAGAGACAGAGAGAGAGAGAGAGAGAGAGAACATGCATGGAGAGAAGGTGAAGGAGAGAAAATCCCAAGCAGATCTTGTGGAGCCCGATGTGGGGCTTCATCTCACAACACTGAGATCATGACCTAAGCTGAAACCAAGAGTGAGACACTTAGCCAACTAGCCACCCAAGGTGCCCCAAACTTACCTTTAATCTACCACCACAAATAATGGAACCCGAGTCATTTTTGTAAGCCACTTATCAGTTCTGTATCACCTGGTACGTGGCCTCCATTGATGTGGTGTTCAATGCCGCCATGTTTTCCCACCATTGGTTCAAGAAGCTGATCTGTGAGAGGTAAGCAGCATTAGATTCTGTGAGCAGCTGACGCCCAAGGAATCCTGGACATTTGCAGAGTGCGAGTGGTCTCCTCTCTTCCAGGGAACACTATCCTGGGGAGTCAGACTGCCTGGGTTCAAACTTGGCTTCTACCATTTACTAGCTGGGTGACCTTGGAAGTTCACTCAATCTTTCTATGTTTCATCACCACATGCAAAAATGGGGGCAAAACTGTTATTAACCCAGTGGTTCTCAAAACTTAACATGCATCCAAATTACATGGAGGGCTTGTTAAAACAAACAGTTGGTCCTGGCTCAGAGTTTCTCAGTCAGTGCAAATGTGCATTTCTAACAAATTCCCACATGATGCTGCTGCTGCTGGTCCAGGCACTACACTTGGGGGACCAATAACCTAACTGTAGGATTGTTGTTACATCAGAATTCACATAAAGCCACATGTCATAAGCAATTAAATGTTAGCTATTTAATATTGTTCAATGAACGTTATCTATTTATTGCTGTTATACCTGTTGTCGTGGTTACCAGTGAGAAAGCGTAGTAGTAGATGAGACCTTCATACCTTTCCACTAATGGGTACCAAGTATTTCCCGACTGTGAGGCCTTTCTGATCGCTGCAGTGTGCAAGTTTTCTCAGCTTCCTGAACTAGGGGCATCAAGGTCTGGACTCCACTCTGGCTTAGAATTGTGAAGTTCTTATGTAGCTCCCTCCGTGTGCACGTCTTGTCTCTCCAGCCGGACAGGTACTCTTTATTGGAATTCTTTCTGTCTTCATAACTCTTAGCATAACAGCTGTGTATGGTAGGGGCCCAGGAAATCCCAGTCTTTGGATTTGGAAGGAACTCTAGAGGTCACCTCCAAGCTTTCCCAGTGCAGGGCTTCCTTCTGGAAGGAAGGAAGGGTTCTCAGCAACCCTAAAAATTCAGAATCAGGAGGTGCATGTGAAGCTCAGAGGTCTGGTCAGCATCTCCATGGTTTTGACACAGGAGTTCTCTGATCATCTCCACAGAAATCGCTACTTGTTTGGTGTTGCAAACTGCCTAGCATGACTCAGTAATGAGTCATGAAATCAAGTCATTCAGGTGGGACCAGCATAATCAAAATAAATAGAACAGAAGAGGAAGAACAGGAAATATCAGGCTGTATCACAATGGTAAGTGTCCTGGGTAATTTAGTTTCTATGTGTGTGTGTGTGTGTGTGTGTGTGTGTGTGTGTGTGTGTGTGTATTGGGTCCCATCATAAATAGACTTTAAGGTCATGGTAAAACAGTTTGAAAGCTGGCCTAGAACGTCCCTTCCTGTTGGTGATGTTGGAACAGAATCAGGGAGGCTGTTGTTCTACTTTTGGCCAGCTCTCATACAGCAGAGAATTCTGCCTCTTGTATCCAATTTTCTCTGGTTGCATCTTCCATCAGACCCATGAATAGACCTACTCCTTCTTTCCACAGCTCTTCAGAACCTTGAGCAAGGCCAGCACCCTGGATGGGCTGCACTGGGGTTCTAATCCCAGCTGCTTTAATCAGCTGGAAGTGGGTTTGCAGAGGGTCGGTGTGGGGAGCTCTGATGTGTGACAGCAGCTGCCAAAGAGTGGGGGCAGGGCAGGGGAGGAAATCCAAAGCCCCAGCTTGGAGACTGAAGGTGGGGGGCACTGTGGGGGCGGGGGCGGGGATTCTGTCCTGGCCGACCAGTAGCTGTGTTTTTGTTTTCTTTTGTTTCCAGCATTCACAGGTGCAGCCCTTCTTCCTGGGGGGACTTCCTGTATCCTGACTCACTCATGCTTGTACCCCAGCTCTTTTGTTCTTCAGACTAAGGATTTTGAGTTTCTTCCATTAGTTTTAATGATGTTAATCTCAATCACTGTTCAGGTTGACTTGATACTCTGGTAAATCCTATTAAAGGACCCTCAACTACTTATCTGTCTGTGGAATGAATGATCACTCCAAGGAAGGCAGGCTGGTATGACTTCTTCCTCTCTGACTCCCTGACTGCTTTATAGTGTGCTCCCACACGCTGGGGCTCACCACACACTCAATGAGCCTCTTTTATGTGTATTTTATGTGCCAAACAGAAGGGCAAAGACAGAGGCCGTCTTCCCACAAGAAGCCAATGGTTAGGCAGGGAGACTGGGATTGGGAAGTTCCATGCTAGAAGTCTGTACTGGGTACCGGGAAGGAGAGACAGAATCTGGTATGTGGGAAATACCCACTAATTCTCACGCTGAGTGAATAATTCAGTAGGTAATCCAGGCTCCCTCAGGGAGATTTCCTAGGGAAGGTGATACCTGAGTAGGGATTGCTTCTAATCCGTGGTGGCATGGGAAACCACCCACGCTTCTAAGTTAGGCTTGATAAAGCTCTGAGTGAGGACCCAAGAGTCTCTCTTGTGACATGAAATCTTTTGGGGTTTAGTGCTGCAGCTTTGCAATGGTTATTTTAGATTCTTAGTGGTATTTTCTGCTTCCTGCTAGATTCAAGGCTCTAGACCACAGTGCTTAAGTTGCCTAAAGAATATCCTTTAGGGAAGTGGGAACATTTGTATAACTAGGTTACAAACGCATTGGATGAATCAGGCTTAGATAAATTTCACCCCAAATCCTAGTATATCTGTATTCCTGAAGGCCCCAGAAACTAGAGATCTGTACCTGCCATAGCTTCTGCTCACACCTTTATCTTCCTTTAGCTTCTCTCTCATCCCCTGCATTAATGTTCCCTTTTATGTGCAGTGACTCAACTGCCATAGGGGATAGCAGCAGTGAGGCTTGATAAAAAGATGTAGGAATCACATTGTCCGGGGATCCTGATGAGCACAGGGCTCTGCAGATATGTGGAACTTTAGGTTGGTGAATCCCTGAATTTGTATTAAATATAATGACTTTCCACTCACCTGAACATATACCAAGTAGTAGATGGTGTCCTCTAGGTATTAACATGCCATCCTCATGCTCTAGAATAAAATGGATAGGTCCTACAGAGGAAAACAATACAATCACAATGTCATATGATTTGAGATTGCGAGTTCAGCTTTGTGGAATGTTCCAGAAATGATTGATATTCTCTTGAATATACAAGTTAAGAGACAAAGAGCAGAACTACTCTCTGGAAAGAGTAGGAAACTATGAATTTCTTGTTTTTTACAATAAATGAGGCAGCTGGAAAGCTATCCGTGTGCTAAAGTAGTTCTTTTTCTACAAGATGGGATTAGGAGGGAGACAAACCATAAGAGACTCATAATCTCACAAAACAAACTGAGGGCTGCCAGGAGTGGGGGGAAGGGGGTCGGGAGAGGGTGGTTGGGTTACGGACATTGGGGAAGGTATGTGCTATGGTGAGTGCTGTGATATGTTAATAAAAGATAAAAAAAATTTAAACAACAACAACAACAAAACAATAAAGTACTTAAGAATAAATTTTTTAAAAATGTTCTTTTTCTGTTGCTCTTAAGAGTAATGATAGACCACTTTTTGTGTTATTTTGCACATAATTCTCAGTTTTTAAGATTGGCCATCAACAGCTATTCATTGGATTCTCTCTGAATAGGTTACTTTTTTTTTTTTTTTTTTAATTCCTTTCTGATATCTTTTGGCCAGATTCTTCATTTTACATTAAGGACATCAATGATTAACTGCTTTGCAAAATTTAGTTCTAAGTCCAATTTCTCACATTCTTCATCCAAACACTGATCCATCTTCAAATTCTACCATTCATTTCTTCTCTCACAGTATTTCCAGGATCCAGGTCTCCTCTTTCAATAGCCATCCTCTTGCCTGAGCCTTAATTTCCTAGCAGCTGTTCAAATTCCAGACTTTTCCCTGTCCATTTCCATCTTCAATCCACCCCATACAAGTAACAGAGGCTGCCCTCTAAGGAAACATCACTCTGGTTATGACTCCCATAACAGAAACCTAGCAGTTTCCCTTCAGTATACTGAACCTCACTTCTTTCTTCTTTCAATATTTCACTTAATATTACCTTCTATATGAAGCTTTTAAGCTCCTAATTTGGTTGAACTACTAAAATAGAACATATGCCTCATGCCTTTTTAATTATGTTCTTTTCTGGAAAATAGCTGAGCAGCAGCCCTTGTGATGCCAAGATAAACCTGGGTGTGTGATGGACCCAAGGAGGGCAGGAAGCAGGTGACCACACGGAGCAGGTGGCCAGACAGAAGCCGGAAATGGCCTCACTGCGGCAGGTGAGAAGCAGTGACAAAAACTCTACAGCAGCAGGATGGGAGGAACTTTAAATAAAGGAGCCTCCTTTTCTTTCTATGATGTCTATGTTTCTGCTTAGCACAGGATCTGTGTTTAACCCAGACATCAATCAGAAAATGGCTCCTGCCACTTTGTTGGTCCACCAGTGTAGAAATGCTCTGCTGGGTGACCCTTGGACTGGGGAGGTAGGAAGACCTGGAGGTTCTCCCGGGTTAGAGGCCACAGGACAGACAGGAGGCTCTTTGCAATGAGTGATGGTGGGAGCAGTCCCTGGAGAAACACAATGATAAATGGACTAGGTGTCTGGAGGAACTGAGAATCATCTGTGGAGTGCAAGAGAGCCATGAATCAGACATTCACAGGGCCGTGGGAGATAATAAAGACATGAGAGACTTAGACATGGTATGGAATCAGGGCAGAGAAAGAAGATGAGGACAGTCTTTAGCTACAATGGGCTGAAGACTCACCAATTCTTGGATGAGGAACTAATTGAAAATTAATATCAAAGCACCACTGCACATAATTTTTACTTTATTCTCTATAATGACATCTTTTTTTAAAAAAAGATTTTATTGGGGCGCCTGGGTGGCTCAGTGGGTTAAAGCCTCTGCCTTCGGCTCAGGTCATGATCCCGGGGTCCTGGGATCGAGCCCCGCATCGGGCTCTCTGCCCAGTGGGGAGCCTGCTTCTCCCTCTCTCTCTGCCTGCCGCTCTGCCTGCTTGTGATCTCTGTCTGTCAAATAAATAAATAAAATAAAATAAAGATTTTATTTATTTATTGGTCAGAGAGAGAGCATGAGCAGACAGAGCAGCAGGCAGAGGCAGGGGGAGAAGCAGGCTCCCCATCAAGCAAGGAACCTGATGTGGGACTCGGTCCCAAGACTCTGGGATCATGACCCAAGTGAAGGCAGCCGCTTAACCAAAAGAGCCACCCAGCATTCTTTTCTCTATAATGACATCTAAGTTACATAAAATTTTAAATAATTTCTAAAGGTTCAGAGATGCATAAATAATTCTTGGTACCTTTCTGGGAAAAATGTGTCCCTCCATAGACTGTTATGAATAGATAACTGGATTGAATGGCATTCCAAGAATCTTGTGCTTGGAGTTTGCAAACCTGGTTAAGCAGGTCCCATTAGAACAATGCATTAGGAAAAAAGTTATCTGACTGATAAAATCCCACTCCCAGGGATTTTAATCTAATTGGTTTTGGGAAGGAGAGATAATTATCAGCATTCAAAAATCTCTCCAGGTGATAGTAATGTGTATCAGGGATTAAGACCACTGCTCAGAAGAATGGCGTTTGCTGGGTCATTGCTACTTGTGGGTGGTGTGAGTCCCAGGAATACCCCAGGAATGCTGCAAAAACTGTGGCTGGGGTTAAGAGGAATAGAGATAAGGATAAAGACCACAAGTCCCAGCTTGACGCCCACACCCAAGAGGCCACACTTAGATAATTGGGGCAGGTTGGTTGGTAGGAGATGAGATGTCACGCTCTCAGGTGTCCAAGGGCACAGGTGGAAACAAATTACTAATTATATTTGTGAAGACTCTGTGGGGCCCCTGAAGAAATCCTCATAAAATCTGAAATTAAGCCAAATATCTTATTAGTAAAATCTCAATAACTGAAGCATTATATACAGCTGTTAATATTCATTTTTATTTTATTTTATTCCATTTTTAAGTATGCTCCACACTCTGCATGGAGCCCAATGCGGGGCTTGAACTCAGAACCCTGAGATCAAGAGTCAGACACTCAACTAACTGAGCCACCCAGGAGCCCGCAGCTGTTAATATGTATGAGGAGTTCTATATATATATATATATATATATATATATATATATATATGAAATAAAGATTTAAGTAAATGGCAATGGAGAAAATACTCTAAAATTGAATGTATAAGCAGAAACAAATGAACCTAGTCGTATGTAAAATTGATATTACCAAAAAACATTAATCCAAGTAGACTTTGAACTTGATGTTTGGGTTATGCACTCACTGGGAAACACTGTTAGAATAAAAAGAAAGCTTGACTGTGTTTAGTAAGTTTGGGTATGGCAGTGTTGAGTGTAGTGATTCTGAAACCATTTTGAGGGGATTGCATGATTGAGCAAATGAATAAGTGCATGTATATTTTTGGGAACTAGGGTTTTCACTGTTGGGCAAAGGGAGATGCAGATATGGAATGGGGAAAAGTGAGGAGGAGCCCTGTGGTATCAGATTGGAATTAGAAGTATCAGCATGGCCTCATTTCTTAAAAAAGTAAAATAAAAATAAAATAAAAAATTTCCTAGCTCTGTCTACTAAAAAAGCCTACAAGCAAAGATAGCCTAGTAGCATCAGATCTGGTTTCTAAACACCATTTCCCACTGAATGTAACCAAGGCTCCTTGGAGGAAAGGCCAGTTCCAGGTGTGGGACCGGGAAAGGACAAACTAAGCCTGAAACAACTCGTTGGGCCAGAAAGTGCTCAAAAGCTGAAGAATTTATTTCAAAATGATGAAGTTTTAGAATATACGTGAGGTTCGGTGCAGTGAAGTCCGGAGCCGATGACCAAGAAAGAATTCTTGAGACGTCTTTGGTGCAAAATGGTGGTTTTATGAAAGCCCGGGGACAGGACCCGTGGGCAGAGAGAGCTGCTCCCTTGTGGTCTTGAGGAGTGGCTGATTATACACTCAGGAGTAGGGAGATGAGGACAAAGGGAGTGTCCAGAAGGACTGTGATATGCTCAAGTCTTTAGGATACTGGGGGCCTGGGTATTGTCAAGCCAAGGCTCTTTCCATCTAATGAGGCACTAAGGTGAAGACAGTCGGGAGTTTCCTGGAGGAATGTGACATCCTCCTATCACCCATTCTTGTCGATGGCTGCAGGTTCAAAAGAAATTCCATTTTATTTACATTTCCTTCTGCTTCAGCCTCCCTCAATTTCATGAAGAGGGTGATGTTAGGGCTCCAGGAAACTGAGTTATGGGGCTCTGGAAGTTAGGCTATTGATAAGAAAGCTTTTTCCTTGTAAATCACTAAGACGTTTGCAAACTGAGGGAGACTCCTGTCCTGCAGGACAATGTTCGCTATCAGATAACCATTTGATTTGTTTTCCTTTTAAAAAAAAAAAAATTTATTTATTTGACACAGAGAGAGTGAGGGAGAGAAAGGGAGAGACAGAGAGCAAGCACAAGCAGGGGGAATGGCAGGCAGGGGAGAAGCAGTCTCCCTGATGAACAAGGAGTCTGATGTGGGGTTCGATCCCAGGACTCTGGGATCATGACCTGAGCTGAAGGTAGAGGCTTAAAATTCAGGGCATCCAGGAGTGCCTGGGGAATGTCACACATATCACATGGCAGGGGAGGGGTGTAAGGTGCCAGCTTCTGCTTTGTCCTCCACTAGACTTCTGTTCCCTCATCAAAAAGGCTACAGGAACTAGCTTGGACGGGCTCCTACTGGCCACATTTAGGACAATCTGAGCATCAAAAATAATGGTCAGAATGGATTTTGACACATTAATTAAAGAAAAAAAGAACCTATGAATCCATATCGATACAAAAAAAAATTGACGTTCTTTATTAAAGAATGCCAAGAAATAAATGTGAAGTGCATAAGAGAGTTAGAAGAAATTGCCAGGCAAGACTCATCAGTGACATGAAAACTAACGAGGGCGGGGCGCCGGGGTGTCTCAGTTGGTTGAGCCTCTTAATGAGGGAGCAGAAGGCAAGCTGAGGACAAAGCAGAAGGCGACACCCCACAACCCCCTC